AGCGGCTCCTGGTAGAGATTGAAAATAACATAAGGTTAACAGAATTTGCCCTTCATTAAAGCGCTTTTTTATTTATGTAGAACGGGCGCCCTGAGGTTTCCTGCATGCTAAAGGCGCCATGTTCATTGTTCACGGTCCCAAATTTTACCCCCACCACCACCCTTGATGATTCGGCGTCATCATTAGTGAGGACGGAGCATTCCTAGGACTAGGCCAAGAGCTTGAGTTCCATGAAAATGAAATTGATTGCTCACTCTGAAGTATCCTCTGCCGCCTAAAGCTCAACTCTTTTCTAACAAAAGGTGCAATTGGCGGCTTCAAGTGCGTTGCTACCGTAATGGCCCCGTATCCTGCCATAGCACCGATGATCCCATGCCTACATACGTGGACAACGAGAAAGAGAGCATAAGCACCTTACAAAACATAATTAATCATTTTTAGTTTGAATACACAGTTAAACAGTTTTACAATGCTTGACGGTAATGGAATACACGGCGCATCTTAACGAGCATTCAGTACCAAAATCTTTTCCTCCATCAGTTGTACTTAATAAATCCGGAACGATTGCAGTTCTTGTTTCCCGCTTGACCGAAGTAATTTGGGCGTACGTGGATGAGACATTCGAGGCACCTCAAATCAGCTGTTTGAACACACCGGTGAGCCGTACGAAGCAGATCAACACGTTGTTCATCTTCGCCATTGCCTGTCATATCGTTGCAATCCTTGCCATAGTGATCGCCTTCTTATTTCATCGACAGCGAACAAGGTAATTTTACAAGGAAAATGGCTCTACGTCAATCGAACCGCTGTGTTTCAGGATGCCAGAAACCCTCTCAAGTCGATTTCAATTCTCGGAAAACATGACATCGTCGCGATTACTGATAGCGCTTTCCACTATACAACTGGTGATATTTCTAACGTATGCGATAGCGATGATGTATTTGAGGATGTCATTCGACCCGGTCAAAGGATCTGTCGCTATGCAAAAGTCAAATATAATGAGCGCTTATGTGAGTCTTCACTAGGTTACTACTTTGTAATTTTGTGGCATTGTACTTCGAATATGATGCGTTTCTCTCTTATACGAAATTTCCCATCCGCAGAACTGCACATGGGCACTGTCGATGCAGCAGGAGGGGAGCATTCACTCCCGAGTTACCTGAAAATAAAAAAAAAATAAGTAAAGCAAACCGCCGATGAAGCCCTTGGAAGATTTCCCCTCTTATCCCTTCGAAATGAGGTAGAGGGACTACGGATGGGTTCACGGGTTACTTGAGTTTTCCTCTTTGGTCCCTGCCCACGAATGGCGGAGAGGCACAGACAATTAAAGAATGGCGCCTGCTAGCGCAAATCCCAGGCACGCCGGAAAAGCCCCTAAGACTAAGCCTTGGAGGGGAGGAATTCTAGGGTGGGTGAGCCAATTACAGTGTGGCAAAAGTTTGAATGTGTGAGATCACAGTGGTCATCAGCCGCTGATAAGGCGAGAGAGCGCAGACGAGAGCGTCGATTGAGGCGGCTTAAAGGACCGAGTTCAAGTAGTCTGTCGACCCTTCGGTACGAGTTATCCTTTGCCTTCATGCTTCACAAACCACTAATCGAACAGCCGCTCGACGTGAACTACACTTTGTGTATCATGGCGTGTGTGGCGACGGATCTCGTCCATTAGCTTACCATTATACCTCATCAGCTTACCAGTATTGGCCCTCGCGATATCGTCGTGCACTTTCGAGCGCGACATAGGGGGGGGGGAGCAACTGGATAAATAGCGGAGCTACCGCTATTCCTACCCACTTGATATATATTTGCTTGGAATCGAACCTTATCTGGGGGCCCATTGCCTTGCACTACACCTTGCTAGCTCAGGCATCAGAGCATAACCTGGCTAACGCAATCACAATTCTTATTTTCTACGAGCGATTGATTTAGATAAGCGTGAGCCTCATCAGGTTACCGACTGCCGCTCCTTTATCGTGCGCGACAAATACTGCCCACTCGGTCGAAAACTCCGCGGCGAACTTTAGTGTTCAGTTCACGCGCCAAATAGTCTTAAGCTTTCGTATAACACTTTTCGATAGGATGAGAAGAGCCACAAGTTCTCAAATTGAATTCACCGAGTAAGATAGATGGTTGGGATCAAGTGAAAGTGGACGCCAGACTAAGTAGAGTAGGGCGGTACCCGAGCAGAAGGACTGTTGCGCGGCGAGACAAAGCAGCAGTCACGTAAGAGTCGAGTGCGTACTGTGGTGATTTAACACAGAGGCCAATTTAAAAATAATGCATCAATTACACGTCTTACATCGTCAACAGCAGACGCGCGCTGCAACTTGTCTGGCTGACAGCTGCCCTCCTGCCGCGCGACGGGCCTGTCGGTACTCCAGGAACGTGTTTAAGGAAGGAGGTCGTACGAAAAATTTCAAAAATGGGCAGGCTACCCATCAGTGCTTACGTTTCTTCCACAATAAGTGTCTTCCAAACTCTCTCAGCCTGTCGGCCCATGTGTTCACTGCATTTTATTTGAAAGGACGTTAAGCTCACACAAACGGTCAACTTAGCCACTACATTCTCACTCTAACTTTTCCATTTTCGACGATTTCATTTTGCGAACATTATCGATTACTTTCAGTTGGTTCCTTTTTACACACTACTGTTACCAGCGATAACTATGTTCTTCCTCGTGCGAATGAAACGGACACGACGATCTGATATTCAATCGATGGTCCAAGTGAGGACCTATTTGTTTTTCGCAGTTATTTTTCATGACTTTTTATTTACCAAGACATTAATCACACGCTACTTTTTTCAGGTGAAAGCGTCAGGCAATGAAGGATGGGCGAACTACTCCTCACAACTGCAACAACAGTGGAGTTGATAATGATCCCACTGGTTTTTCGTTTAGCAAAGAAATTTTTCAGGGACATATGCACATACATTGTATAATAGTAAATTACGTAGCTGTAAGTAAATAAACAGTATAATTACGTTACGGTTGTGTCTTATCTCACTGACCGGCACTTTTGTGTAAAAGCGGGATTCCCGCACAAACGGTGGAACCCTGGGTGAACCCTGTTTGAAAATTCGTTTTGCTTATGTTTCTCGGTGGGACTCCCGGCGGAAAGTCGGAACCGCTAGAGGAGATAAGGCGCTTGGTGGATTAGATCGTAAATTTCAACCTTGAACCGCGTTTAGGCCTCAGAAGACGACGATTTTGTCGAAACGTTAGGCCGATTGAATAAATGTTCCACCTATCAACCTCGAACGGCAGAAGAAACAAACACAAATAAGAACAAAGTATAAGTACACTTCTAAGAGTTGTACATGTGTTAGAAATTCTCATGTGTTCAACGAAGTTGTGTGACACATTTAACGGAATGGCATCAGTGGACGAGTTGTCGTGTGTCCGCCCACTTGAACAAAAAATGTCATCAGTTCATGTTACGATGCCTTCGCGAATACGTCTTGATGCTACGAATCACGATCCTCGATAGAACCGATTCTACCTATGGTCAACGGCGGCGCCGAGCCGACTTTGAATGCGCTACGCTGTTTAACACCCATTGAGGAACCATCACGGCTGTTTTTCCTATATGTGGTCGTTGAACCTGTACCACTTGACACATCCCACCACCAGGGAAGCATGGTGTGCATCAATACCCGACCAGAAAGTATTGGAAGGGAGGTGTACAAAGCGATGCGTGTCAGTTGAAGTGTACTGGCCTGTAGGTACGTGTTGAATTTATCATTTGAGTAGAACTTCCCGATATGATAGGTTATCGGCCTTTTGAAAAAAATGGTGTGTAGCTTCATTTTTTCAATAGT